ATTTTCTAGCCCCCTTTCATTTTGGCATTCGAAGACCACCACTCCTCAGATTCCTTGTGCTTGGGCCCTTGTCTAGCTGGTGCCGACTGATCCGTTCGCGGCCCCCGTGCTAAGTTCCCTTGCACTTAGGCTTTTCTCATGCCGTAATCGGGCGGCTCCCTAGGCCACATGCATGCTGGCGCCTTCCGCAGTAGTACCAAGGCATTATTTTCTTGGTGTTGTCGAGCCCTACCCTTCTCTGTGGTACTAGCATCCGGGTATTATTCTTTTCCTGGCGGTCCTCCTTCTATAGGAAAGAGGGCCACCTTTACCTTTTTCCTGCAACGCTTCAATGACCCCATCTTCACATGTTATTTCTCATGTGTCGTGCGACCGCCGTCGTGGGGCCCTCGGTCCTAGTGGCCCTGAGTTCCGTCTTGGGATTCTTTGTCCCGCTGGGCCAATCTTTGCCGTTTGTCTGGTCCTTTCATTCTCTTCCTGCTCTCTCTTTCCTGATTCATCTGCTGTGCACATCCTTGTCTTATACCATGTCTCAAGGGCGGGGACTCGATTCGAGAACCAATGGTTCCGATACCGTAAGGAGGAGCTGGGCTGGGAGACCTTGCTCTTGGTTGTGTTGGAGACGACCAGTTGTTCGTTCTCCTTAATACCCCTTAGCCTGCCTGAGTACCATCATGATGCCCTTATCCTATACGAGAGACTCGGGCTCGTGCTGCTGGTCCTGATTCCCGGTGGAGTAGGGAGGGCTGTGTTGATTGGGATGATGGTGGTAGTGTGCGTTTCTGCGAAAAGTACGTGGACAAGGTTACTGATTCACTGTACCTGGACTATTCATGTAATTCATTGTCGTGCTAAAGGATCTCAAAATAAACTGTACAAATCGATATGGGATGCTGGGCCTGGTTCCCGGCCTGTCTCTTATACACATCTAGATGTGTATAAGAGACAGGTGGTAGTGTGCGTTTCTGCGAAAAGTACGTGGACAAGGTTACTGATTCACTGTACCTGGACTATTCATGTAATTCATTGTCGTGCTAAAGGATCTCAAAATAAACTGTACAAATCGATATGGGATGCTGGGCCTGGTTCCCGGCACGTGCTCCTCCCCAGGAATAGATTGGAGCACTTGTTTAAAAAAAAAAAAAAAAAAAAAAAAAAAGCTAGCTGCCAATCAATGTCAGAGGGGCCGTTGTAGTTAATATTGAGAATCTCTTTAACTGGCCTCTTTGCGCTGACAGTGCGTCGTAGTTTCTCCCAGTCTAATGGTGGGGATCGAGTCATGGATCGGGGTTCCGGTGGTGGAGAGCAGCTTAAGGAGGAGGTATTTGGCCACTGCTTTTCGCTGATTGTATACTCTTTTGTTGTCACTTAGATGTTTAATAATTTGCCGGCCATGTAGGTTCATTTATTTAGATGGGCTTGGTTCGTTGTCGAACTGTGTCTACCATCTGCCCCTTCTCATCCTTTCCTTCCCGGTTGCCTGAAAGTGACTGCATCCCCTCATTTATGTTTTGGTCCCGGATGATCTCTTTCGCCTACCTGTGACTTTCTTTACCTGTTTGGTCTTGAAGTTCTTCGATGACCGAGTTCGCTTCAGTCGACTCTTCCCCGAGGTGTTACGCTGTGGCCACACATTCCAGTTCCATGACAGCGGTGGTGGTACTCTCGTCATCTGAGTCTGTTGCTGAGTAGTCCATACGGTTTTTCCGACTTTTTCGACCCTTCTGAAGAGCTGTGGTCATATTGTGTGGTGTATTGGCGCAGAAGGGCTTGGAGCTGTGTATGGGTATGGAGGAGTTAGACGTCGAAAGTTCGCATCTGCCACCTGCTGCTTTTGCAGCTCTTGCGGTTGTTGTAGGAGTCGTGTTTCTCTGACTCTTGTCGACTGTTATAAGTTCCAGTGCTGCTGTTGGTTCTGTTGCAGCAGTTGGGATTGCTGGGCGTCCCTGTGCGTTGTGAGTTAGTTAATATGCTGGAGACTCAGTGGAGGGTAAGGTGGAGTTGTGGCTGTTTCCCTGTTCGGAACCCCTCCCGTTGCTATTCCTCTGGTTGGTGACTGTGAGCGATCTGCGTCATTGGCATATTGTTTTGGACTCAGCAGCTCTGAAAAGAGTACTGTCTTCACCCGAATAGAACGCCTGGTCATTGTAGCTGTATTTGGCACGACTCTCGGTCCAGATGCAGCGATAATGACCGGGCGTTCTATTCGGGTGAAGGCGGTAGTGTTCCTGATCGGCTGTTCCCCTGAACGGGGTCGCTAGAATGCTGATTGGGCAGGTTGCAGAGTGCTGAGTTCCGGTGAGGTTAGCATCTCCTGCTCCTGAGTCTGTGTTTAGTGGTGGGTCTGGCCTGTTGTTCGTCTTGTAGGGGTTCTGTTGATGTTCTGCGTCCGCTTGGCACCATGAGTGAGCTTCTTTCGATCATGCACTAGTGGAGAGCCTTTGTTGGCATCCCCTAATTCCGATAATCCATCCGCTATCTTGTCCAATTCTGAGGATGACCCCTTTCAGTTCTAAAGGTCAAGCTGTTTTGAAATTTCTTGCATGATCAATTCTTCATCGGTTGTCCTGACACCCCGTATGTTATTGGATTCCTCTTCTTCGCATATTCGAGGTCCGTGTTGTTTGTTGGGATTTGGGGGTTTCGGTTTTGTAAAAAATTGAGTTAATTTAACTTTCAGTTCCGTATTTGCCGAGATGAGAAACTTGAACTTCAGTTCCGACTTAAAGAGGAATACAATAACAGTTGGAACAGTGCATTTGGCCGAAAATGCCTCGCCTACCCAAATTGGGGTAGGACTGAACTTCGCCCGTAAGAGTCGGTT